CATAAGAACATATGGACACAGGGAGAGGAGCATCACACACTGAGGCCTGTCAAGGGTGGGGTGCAGGGAGGGAGAGCATCCGGACAAATAGCTAATGAATGCAGTGCTTAAGACCTAGATGACGGGTTGACAGGTGCAGGAAACCACCATGGCACACATACATCTATGTAACAAACCTGCATGTTCTGCACATGTATCCCAGAACTTAAATTTTAAAAAAAGATAGCGATGTTTTGGTTATTTATTGTTTTTGTTATTTTGCTTTGACATTTAGTACAATGAAGATTTAGTTTAACTATTTTTATCATTAAGAAATATTCTTGTATTTTAAGTTGTATTTTATTTAAAAACATTTGCAAATCAACTTTATAAAAATAGTATTTGGAATTTAGTATAGTACAGTGTGTTCAGATTTCACATTGTTCTTAGTCCCCTATATCCCAGTGTAGTCCCCTGATTTCTACATATTTGTTTTTATATTTATGTGGACTTCCTGGCCCCATGGACATTTAAGCTGGAGATACTTGTATTGGATTTTAAAGTGGAAATATGTGAAGTTTTCTCAAATTTATTTATAAAGTTCATAGAAACAAATTTAATTTTATTTTTCCAGACTTCATGCCTTTAAAAAGCATACCGTTCAGGAGAATGTCCTCTGTGGTAAAATTTTGGTGCATGGTTGTAATAATAAAATACACATTGTTTAGTTATTTAGTTTATAGCATATTATAGAAAACACAGTGATCGGTGACGAAAAGTTGAGCTGCAGCAGGTGGATTTACAGGAAAAGAACAAGAATGATGCAAAAAAAAAAACCACAAACAACAAAAAAACTGAGAAACACACAGATGCATTAGGTTTTTCTTCCTCTCTAGCTAATGTTGCTGATTTGAAAGGAAGTGATTGCTTCGTTGAGTCAAGACACTTTCATGATTGTTACTAAGCTTCCTCTGGTGGGCAATTTCATTCTCACTCTTATAGCCCCCAAGGAACTGCATGGGTGCACACTAGAGGGTTTTCTGACCAAAGTTCATGTACAGTGTAATTTAAGTAAAAGCCCTGATTATGTTCTTTGCTGCTCTGAGTTAAATGATAGGAAAACCTGATATGTGTGGAAGGGCAGAAGGTAAGTGCATGTGTTTTTCTCTCCTAGTTCAATAAAAGGTAGCACAAGAAATGAATTAACTAATGCAATTCTAGACATTAAGCAGCTGATACTGGGAAGTTGGAAGCAAAAATAGAGTATCAAGAATATCGACAAGACCAATTTACTGGTTTATTGGTTTATATATCACATCTGATTGCTTCAACATAGAACCATACTTAAACATATATATGGGTACACACACACACATGTGATTGGCATATATTCATCTGAATATTACAAGGAGTTAGTATCAGCCATATTAAAATCTATCGTATTTGTATTGCTAAATGCCCTACTTTGAATTTCTCAGTGGGTCTGTTCATTTTCCTGTGAGATGATTTTAGATATATCCAAAAGCATACTCTGAATGATTAGGACACTTTAGGAATTGATTCTATTAGCAGTCTACCTTCTGGTAATATACACCATATCTTTAAAACCATCCCGCTTTATTAAATCCTGACACCACCCAATGAAAGACAGCCAAAGGGCTACTGTTATGACGGAGTCCGTTGTTTCTAAATTTATAACAGGTTCCATGTGTTTACTCTTCTAAATTCTACCTGCTGTGTTTAAATTACTGGTTTATTAAAACAAGGAATAGCAATAGAAAGGAATAATCATTTTAATACTTGAGAATGTGTTTTATTTGATTCATAGACTGATTTATGTTATAGCAAGCAATTGGAAGAATAAAAACTTATGAAAAATAATAACAAATACATTATAACTTTACTTTATCAATTGTCTTGAAAGCATAGTGGCTTAAACCTGAGTGGCATTGTTTGTTTGAAATAAAGGTAGAGGCAAGAGATGCAGCCCCCACCCCATCCTGGGGTCGGACCATCCTTACCTGGCACTATTTTTCTCATCACTTTTCACTATCTAATAAATTATGAAATATACATATTTACTGTGCTTGTTCTTCCACTCACAGAATGTAAACTATGTGAGGGGAGAGATTTTTAAGTATTTCATTTTACTGCTATAGTCCTATAATAATCACTCAGTAAGTATTGGTTGAGTAAATGAATTATTATAAAACATCAGAAAGAATTTGAGCAAAAACATTAGTTAATGTTGATTCTTGGCCTAGTGAAGAAGTTTGGGTTCCATTATTCACTTTATTAAATTGTATACTTTAGGAGGTTGAGAAAAATTGAGAAACATCTCCCAAGAAATTGTGCTTCCCATGACTTTATGGACTTGAGTCTTTTCTCCTTTGCCCAGATGGCTCCTTCTGTCAAAAACTTCTTTCTCTGTATTTCTGACTGGCTAATTCCTAATTAACCTTTCCAAAAACGTATTTCCGGTAGCCATTCTTCTACAAAGTCTTCTTTGACACCCCCAATATGGTATAGATGCTTCTATGATATTCTCAACCACAGCTCCATTCTTTAAATCATATCGGATTATATATGTTTAGCTTCCTTCTTCTCCCCTGCTCTGAAGGCAGGGGTCATAGTTTTTATTGTTGTTGTTGTGTTTGTTTTAAAAATTCAGATAGTGCTCAGTTCCTAGAAGGTACTCGATTAAAAAGAAAAGTGGGGTGGGTAGGTGGTGATGTTATGGAGGAGAGATGGGAGGGGAAATAGAAAAAAATAGGAATAAAAGGTGATAATTTCTTGCTTGTTTTAATCAAGAGAGAATATCCAGCCAATGAAAGAATTAAGGTATTACAACAGGTTTCCAAGAGATGTTTATTTAAGGAATTCAGATCATATTATAAACCAGGTAATATTCTAGGCACTGAGAGTGCTGAAGTGAGCTAAGAGATAATGTCTTTGCATTCATAGAGGTTATATTTCAGTGGGGAAGACAGGCAATCGTTGAGTGTAATACTATGTTTGTAAAACAATGCTTAATAGAATGTAAAATTATTATAAAATGTGTATAAATTCAGTACAGAACTTGGGGATATTTAAAGGATTTCAGAACTAAGTGTAGAAGCTGTCTCTTTGCTCCGGAGACCTCAGAATTCTTTCCTTGTAAAATGCTGTACATGGGATCCCAGAATTGGAAACACAAAATGAATCTCTCCAGGAGTGGCATTTGTAACTTAACACATGTACGTCAACCCACATGAAATGCAGAGGGAACACTTTATATCAACATTAAGGGCCCTCATTCCAGTTGCTTATGGAGGCATCGAGCCCTGAAGGGAGATGGGGTCTGGAAGGCTCCCAGCCTGCAGGCCTCGCTCATGTGCAGCTGGGCGAGACCCCAATGTCTCCACTGACAACAGAGATGCAAATGGTTTTGAGAATCTAAAAACGAAATACACTACTCCAGACTTTTGGTGAGAGATGACTTAACCTTTTTTACTCTCCACGGTCTTGATTATCTTGGTAATATTTACTAGTCAGTTATAGAAGATAAATAATTTGAGTTTTGTGTTGGTTTGGAGAAGCTTCCAGACTCTGGGTACCAGTAGTTGACTGATAGTGTAAGGACTATGATACCATGCTTGTACTAATATAGGTGGATTATTTTACCAGCATATGGAAGGGCATAGAGTATCACAGCGCTTTGTCGTAGAAGAAAAATATAAAACAATTACAGTGAATGAGGAAGAATGCTGTGATTGCAGTATAAAATACTTTGATTTCATGCTGCCAAGATTCATATCAGCCTCGTAGTTGTTGACAGATAAAGTAACAAAAATGAAACTCGTTTATTCTTTCCTTATTGAGACCTCAAGGTAAAGCAGATTTTCAGTTTTTGTACTTCCTGCATTGATAGAACAGAGACTGACACAAAAATGTGTCAGCCCAGAAATAGAAGTTGAACCTAGGTTCACATCAAAATTTCATTTAGCCTTGGAAAAGGAGCTGCTGTTTGAATTACTTTTGATCTTAAAACAAATATACTAAAGAATATCACAGTATATCTGATATGGATTAACCCTTCCCTGCGAGCCATACTTTCAGAGTCGTTTTCATTCTACAAGGCTTTATTTTTGCAGCGTTTGAGGCAACTTGAATTATCATCAGTGTAGGGTACATTTTGCTGAATGCAAATTACTAGCAACAGACATATACATTTCAGTCTGCAGGAAGTATGAAACTAGATTTGGAAAATTAATAGCAGGCCTTTTTCTCTATCACAAAGTTATACCTTATGCTACAGTTTGGTCATGAAGGTAAGGACAGAGTAAGTGGAAGACATGATGTGAGAAATTTTGCTTAGTGATGTTAAGATTGTTGATGTGAGTGGAATGAATTTCTGGCTAAATCATTTGCACCTTCCCTTCATGTTACCGAAGTTGACATAAGGAAGATGTATAAGCAAGCCTCTCTCTTTTCTCTTCTTTCCTTCCTAGTTTTCTCCCTTCTTCTCTCCCTTTCTCTCTCTCTTTCTCTCTCTTTCTTTCTTTTTACCCAACTAGCAACATGTACATTCTGCTGTAGTTTTTCATAATTAAGATAGTACTAAATTGCCTGTGGAATTCTGGACACAACAACATGATACACTTAGTGATACATAGGTGAGTAAATATAATCAGCAGTGCGCTCTACACATCATTATAATTCAACTATGTCCATTTCATGAGTATATCCTAAAAATAGTTTGGCTTAAGTTTTTTTTATTATTATTCTAAAGTCTATGTTTGATAATTTTCTCATTAACTTTTAGCAACAGAAAGATAGCATGAACTTGTTTCCTGAGTTACCTTTTCTGACCTTTTGCAAGATGATAATTATAAAAAAGGGAGGCCTGGAAGACTTGTAAAAAAATTAAGCTTATAAAAGAGCTAAAATGGTCCTTCTTTGCCGGTGTCGATTTCAAAATTAACATTTTGGTTCATGTGCTTCTAATAATCACTGACCCTTACCTCGTGTACTTTCCACAGGAAATGAATACGGCAGAAATTACTTTGACCCACTGATGGATGAGGAAATAAACCCAAGGCAGTGTGCGATGGAGGTCAGCAGAGAAGGTGAGCTAGAATTAAGTATGTAATTTTTGTGTCAGAATATTTTTTTCCATTCATGAAAATGAGGTGACAAAGATCACACATGCAGTTCCATTTAGATTTTGCAGCTTACAATTTAAATGGTAAGTTTTAACCACTAACAACATGATGGGCAGTGAAGGTAATTTTTCATCAAGGACAGCGGGCTGGTCAGATGGAAGAAGCACCAATGTGCTTTCATCTGATGCTACTGTGAGGAGTTTGATGCCATCATAAGGCCCATGTATGTGTCTGAGGAGCATCATCACCTTCAAATGCATCTCTGCTTTTTGAATTTAAAATGAACATTCTTCAACAAATCGCATCTAGCACAGGAGATTTCCATATTCTGAGATGACTGAATTTCTTTCCTTGAATTCATGGAACCATCACTTAACTTTAGAATTATGAAGGGGAAGTGATAGGATAACAATTTCCTCGTCCATAATCTTGAATACTAGCTGTGGTTGTAAAATAATAATTCAAAACTGCTCCTTAAGTGCATAATATTATGCATATTTTCAAGTTTACAAAATACTCGGGTTTTTATGAAGATTATTGATGAGATATTGACAATGACAAATGTTACCTAGAATCAGCTGCAATACAAACCATATCCCACCAGTGGGTGCCAGTCACTGAGTCTGCATGTTTTAATAAAAGAGTAGGGTAAATTCTCACAAAAAGGACTCAAGCATAGTGCAAAAATAATTTTTATGAAATAGCTCTCAATAACCTATTTTTAAATAATGCGGAATCCACAGATATTATCAAAAGAACTATGTGCAAGATAAGACAAAAACTCAGTCTCAGAGTCAGTTTTCACTGCTGGCTCAAAAGTCAGGGTGCATGTGAGGCTGGAAAAGTTCAGCCTTCTATTTACCCAAACACACTTAGGGGGTGAGAGACAATTCTAGTGAGTTCTGGGGAGGGGTATTGATTGAATTATCATTGAAGTCTGTTAAAATTTTGTAGGAGTCACAATATATAGTTATATTTGGTGGAATGTTTGTAATGTGAGGACTCACTAATTTGGGAAAGGTGACTTAGTAAGTTATGTTCAATGAATAAGGAATGGTTCTAACTACAGACAGGGAAGTTTTATAAAATACTGCTGGTCACTCTTTCAGCTTCCCTAGTCAGTTATTATTGCCTAACTCCCACGGCTAACGTGGGATTCCCTGTTTCAGGAAGCTCTTTTTGTGCTTGTACCTGCAGCCAGATCTGTGCTGGTGTGTGCTGTGGGAGGTCGGGGCTGGCTCTCTCGCTAGCTGCCAGTTCCACCTTTCTAATGAGTCTCCTTTCTAATGAACTCCTTTGCTATTGTTATTATTTTATTTCCTCCACTTCCTTCTAACTGCCTTCCCACTTTTTCTTCTCTTCTGCTTTTACTTTTTTCCCCTCATTTCTTCCTCAGTGCTTTTCTCCCCTTCTTTCTGGAGTTCCTTCATAACTATAAGATACATTTTATATATATTGAAAACGCATCACCACCACCTATTCCCCCCCTCCCCACACTTTTCTTTTTAATTGAGCACCTTCTAGGAACTGAACGCTATCTGAATTTTAAAAACAAGCACAACAACAGCAATAAAAACTAATCCCAGCACTTTGGGAGGCTGAGGCGGGTGGATCACGAGGTCAAGAGATCGAGACCATCCTGGTCAACATGGTGAAACCCCGTCTCTACTAAAAATTAAAAATTAGCTGGGCATGGTGGCGCGTGCCTGTAATCCCAGCTACTCAGGAGGCTGAGGCAGGAGAATTGCCTGAACCCAGGAGGCGGAGGTTGCGGTGAGCCAAGATTGCGCCATTGCACTCCAGCCTGGGTAACAAGAGTGAAACTCCGTCTCAAACAAACAAACAAACAAACAAACAAAAAAACCAAAACCTACAGAGCAGGGGAGAAGAAGGAAGCTAAACATATATGATCCAGTATGATTTAAAGACTGGAGCTGTGGTTAAGAATATCATATGACAATCTTTTGGAGTTGAAATAGGAGAGCAGAAGAAACAGGAAGATGCAGGGGTGCAGAGAGAGAGAGCTCAGATCAGTGCCTCCTGACAAGATGGGTCCTCAGCCTTGAGTCTGTAATTTATGATGTCCTCTTTTACTTTTTGCTTGGTACTCACACTTTCACAGTTACTTCATTTAGGGGTCAACCAGTGCTAACTAGCAATCTTTCCACTTTCTCTGTGGCATGGGGCTAGAGGTTACTCAGAGACATAACATCAGAGCCGCTGGGTGGGTTCCAGAGAGGGGTAGACTGAAGCAAGCTGCGGTTCACAGCAGTTCGTGTGGCAGAATTTTGGAAACACCTCAAAGGTCTTTCTTGTACCCAACTATCTTCACCTAGGTTGAGTTTTTTGTTATTGTTGTTTGTTTTTTAAAAGGGTCTCACTCTTCAGCTCAGGCTGGAGTTGCAGTGGCATGATCTCAGCTGACTGCAACCTCCATCGTCTAAGCTCAAGTGATCCTCCCACCTCAGTCTACTGAGTAGCTGGGACTACAGGCACACGCCACCATGCCTGGCTAAATTTTGTGTTTTTTGTAGAGAAGGGATCTTGCTGTGTCGTTCAGGCTGGTCTCAGGCTCCTGGACTAAAGCAATCTGCCTGCCTCAGCCTCCCAAAGTGCTAGTATTATGAACGGCTGCAGCTGGCTTGGCTGAACGATGTTCTTATGTTTATTTGTTCATAATCTGTATTCCAAAACAATATGAGGTAGCTTGCAATAGAAACATAAATGCACATAATTATAGAAAAGTTCAAGTAAAGATGAAAGGGGGATTTGAGAACATCTACAAAAGGGGACAAGTTAATGTACAAAAAAACCAGGACAATATTATTACCATAATTAAGCACTCATTTTTACACGGAGCTTCCTGGAAGTCATGGTATAAAAAGAAACACCATAAGTAGGTTAGTTCTTATGTTTAATAAAAATTATGCTCTTTTTTTAAGTGTAAATAAGCCACCATCACCACCGCGATTTTATTTTTTACACTAAATAATGTTCCTTTTTATATGGTAGAAAGTAGAAATTGCAAAATGCTTTATTATTAATTACTGGTAAATACGTTTTACTTAATATAGAATACAGCTTCAGTGCTACTATGTAGTAGGTGTGTAACATTTTGTTATTTTCCAATTTTGCATATGACCTGATGTAGGTAATAATAGCTTGCGGATTAGTCAGAGTTCTCCAAAGAGGAATACCCACCTAGATAACCTTTTGACTCTCTTCCAGAACAATGTTTTTATTGTGTGTGTGTGTGTGTGTGTGTGTGTATGCGTGTTTTGCAGGGGATAATGACATGGCCTTAATGCTTTAAATTTACAAAAGAACTTAGAAGCCCTGTATTTCCTACTATATTGCAATAGCACATACTAAAGAATCCAGAACCATCTAAATTTCTTGTTTCTTATACCTAAATAGAAAAAAAAAATCACATATAGAGAGTAGCTAATGGAAAACACTCATTCATTTTGATCACTTGTATATTCTTTTGTATGTTTTAACAAACCAAAATGACTAATTCTGAGATGATTCTTGAGTAATAGATGTCATAATTCATTGGACATGAGATCAGTTTTAATGGCGAAGTATCTTATTATGCATGTCTTGTAATATACATTTAAAAATCATTGTTCTATCATTGATTTACAAAAGGGGGTTTCTTTTTCAGAACATGGCAGCATATTGAGTGTTGAGTTGTGTCTATGACCCAGAATATAACTAAATGACCGTGATTAATAATTTCTTTTTGTGATTATGTTTGCATATCTATAAATTAATTGATGAGGAAGTTATTTTGTACATGTTCTTTTAACACTCCTACTAGGTGATGATAGAATTTTCTATAATCAATTAACAAAACATTTTGATGAGAGCGGACAAGAAAAACCCCAAGGTAAGAGACCAATTATCTTCAATCTTTTATTTTAACATTAGTTGTAAATTGATTGAAATGGTTTCTTGGAAATGCTCACCTATCTTTTCTAAATATAACCATTCACTGATTACCTATGTGAGCTTTCAATGGTTGTAGATATTTAAATGTAGCTGAAGTTTAGGGAAAAAGTAATTATGACCCAATTTCCTATAATTGCATAGAATTTATAACCCAAAATGGTAAAAATGATTTAAGATTTACTGTTGAAGGATCTTAAAATGGCATACGGCATACTTGGATTCACTAATTTATGATGTGATGTGCTACTCTTTTTTTTTTTCCCTCCATAATACATTTTATTTATTTTTATTTTATTTAATTTAAAAAAATTTTTTTATTGCATTTTAGGTTTTGGGGTACATGTGCAGAACATGCAAGACAGTTGCATAGGTACACACAAGGCAGTGTGTTTTACTTCCTTTCTCCCCTTCACCCACATTTGGCATTTCTCCCCAGGCTATTCCTCCCCACCTCCCCCTCCCACTGGCCTTCCCCTTTTCCCCCCAATAGACCCCTGTGTTTAGTACTCCCCTCCCTGTGTCCATGTGTTCTCATTTTTCATCACCCACCTATGAGTGAGAATATGCAGTGTTTCATTTTCTGTTCTTGTGTCAGTTTGCTAAGAATGATTTTCTCCAGATTCATCCATGTCCCTACAAACGACACAAACTCATCATTTCTGATTGCTGCATAATATTCCATGGTGTATATGTGCCACATTTTCCCAATCCAGTCTATCATCGATGGGCATTTGGGTTGATTCCAGGTCTTTGCTATTGTAAACAGTGCTGCAATGAACATTCGTGTGCATGTGTCCTTATAGTAGAACGATTTATAGTCTTTTGGATATATACCCAGTAATGGGATTGCTGGGTCAAATGGAATTTCTATTTCTAAGGCCTTGAGGAATCGCCACACTGTCTTCCACAATGGTGGAACTAATTTACACTCCCACCAACAGTGTAAAAGTGTTCCTATTTCTCCACATCCTCTCTAGCATCTGTTGTCTCCAGATTTTTTAATGATTGCCATTCTAACTGGTGTGAGATGGTATCTCAATGTGGTTTTGATTTGCATCTCTCTGATGACCAGTGACGATGAGCATTTTTTCATATGATTGTTGGTCTCATATATGTCTTCTTTCGTAAAATGTCTGTTCATATCCTTTGCCCATTTTTGAATGGGCTTGTTTGTTTTTTTCTTGTAAATCTGTTTGAGTTCTTTATAAATTCTGGATATCAGACCTTTGTCAGATGGGTAAACTGCAAAAATTTTTTCCCATTCAGTTGGTTGCCGATTCACTCTAGTGACTGTTTCTTTTGCCGTGCAGAAGCTGTGGAGTTTGATTAGGTCCCATTTGTCTATTTTGGCTTTTGTTGCCAATGCTTTTGGTGTTTTGTTCATGAAGTCCTTGCCTACTCCTATGTCCTGGATAGTTTTGCCTAAATTTCCTTCTAGGGTTTTTATGGTGCTAGTTCTTATGTTTAAGTCTTCAATCCATCTGGAGTTAATTTTAGTGTAAGGTGTCAGGAAGGGGTCCAGTATCTGCTTTCTGCACATGGCTAGCCAGTTTTCCCAACACCATTTATTAAACAGGGAATCCTTTCCCCATTGCTTGTTTTTGTCAGGTTTATCAAAGATTGTATGGTTGTAGATATGTTGTGTTGCCTCCGATGCCTCTGTTTTGTTCCATTAGTCTATATCTCTGTTTTGGTACCAGTACCATGCTGTTTTGATTACTGTAGCCTTGTAATATAGTTTGAAATCTGGTAGTGTGATGCCCCCTGCTGTGTTCTTTTTGCTTAGAATTGACTTGGCTATGTGGGCTCTCTTTTGGTTCCCTATGAAGTTCATGGTGGTTTTTTCCAGTTCTGTGAAGAAAGTCAATGGTAGTTTGATGGGGATAGCATTGATTCTGTAAATTACTTTGGGCAGTATAGCTATTTTCACGATATTAATTCTTCCTAACCATGAACATGGAATGTTTCTCCATCTGTTTGTGTCCTCTCTTATTTCATTGAGCAGTGGTTTGTAGTTTTCCTTGAAGAGGTCCCTTACGTTCCTTGTGAGTTGTATTCTAAGGTATTTTATTCTTTTTGTAGCAATTGTGAATGGCAGTTCGTTCTTGATTTGGCTTTCTTTAATTCTGTTATTGGTGTAGAGGAATGCTTGTGATTTTTGCACATTGATTTTATATCCTGAGACTTTGCTGAAGTTGCTTATCAGTTTTTGGGCTCAGGTGATGGGGTCCTCTAGGTGTACTATCATGTTGTCTGCAAATAGAGTCAATTTGGCTTTCACCTTTCCTATTTGAATACCCTTTATTTCTTTTTCTTGCCTGATTGCTCTGGCTAGAACTTCCAGTACTATATTGAATAGGAGTGGTGAAAGATGGCATCCTTGTCTAGTGCTGGATTTCAAAGGGAATGCTTCCAGTTTTTGCCCATTCAGTATGATATTGGCTGTTGGTTTGTCATAAATAGCTTTTATTACTTTGAGATACGTTCCATCGATACCGAGTTTATTGAGGGTTTTTAGCATAAAGGGCTGTCGAATTTTGTCGAATGCCTTCTCTGCGTCAATTGAGATAATCATGTGGTTTTTGTTTTTGGTTCTGTTTATGTGGTGAATTACGTTTATAGACTTGTGTATGTTGAACCAGCCTTGCATCCCCGGGATGAATCCTACTTGATCATGATGGATAAGTTTTTTGATTTGCTGTTGCAATCGGCTTGCCAATATTTTATTGAAGACTTTTGCATCTATGTTCATCATGGATATTGGCCTGAGATGTGCTACTCTTTTTAAAGACTGTGTCTTAGTTTTTGAACAAATGCTTTTGGGTGGAAGACAAGTAGTATATTGTTCTCAACCTGAGCATGGAAATTCATATTTGCAAATGTTAGGCTTTTTAAGTAAGAAATTATTTTATGTATTAAACTAAAAATGTAAAGGTCACCTTTAAAAACTGAATTTTAAATTCTTAGTTTAACGCATATAAATTCATGCCAGAACCATATTGTAGTTTTTGCCAAAGAATTAAATATAAGTTGCTGTATATTTCATGGGGAATGATTCTATTATTATTATTATTTACCATGTGTGCTTAGTGCTTAAAATTAAGCATCATAAATGGTTATACTTAAGTCATACCTCTATAGGTTTAGTCTAACTTCTGAGTCAGCAAACCTATTGAATACTTTTTAGTGCTAGACACTGAGTAATGCACTTTTATGTGTACTATTTCTTTTCCATTCTGATGACTTTTTCATCTTGGATCCTTTGAAACCACACAAGTCAAACATTTACAGATAGCATATAATAGATCTTCTGAAATCATTTATGGACTTACAAAAGTCTCTTAGAATTTATAGAATAGGCATTTTATGAAGTGTTTTGTAGAAAAGGATGTAGCTGAGACTTATAAAGTATAAGGACTTATGCAAAGTAATATAGTGAATCAGGGAGCAAAGAACGTGGGGGCCTCAGGACGCTCTAGCTCAGTGCTCTCTCCAGCACCCCACCTCATTTCCTCCTGCAGAAGAAGCCCTGTTCTAATGATTCTTATTAACATTCTAGACTAGGAGACATGGAAAATTTCATATTATACCTTCCAGCATTTTTTACAGACTGGAAGAGGGAGGATCATTTTATATTTACAGCATGCATCTGGCTAGATGAATAGGTATCTTTTGTAGATGAAACTGTTTTCAGGTGATAGAGAAGTAAGGTACACATACCATGTATATAAATGCTGGCATTTCTATGCAAATAAACAAGGTAGCCCAAATAAAGTGCCTCTGTGTGCAGAGCTCAGGAAGTGTTCTCAGAGATCCCAAGGTGGGAAAATGAACCAAAGAGCTCTGGCTTCTTCTAAGCCTATTCATCTCCTAAACTGGTTCCAGCAACACAGCAAGTAAGTGGTAAGATGTTGAAGTAAACAACATGTAATATTAATGCACAGAAAAGCACAGTATCCACATTTCAAGATATATTTGGTAACTGGGAAAAAGGCTTAAATGTACAGCTGTACTTTGTTGCATTTGTAAACATTATGGGATAATCAAAGGTGGTTGTGGTTGTTTTTTAATCTTAAAACTTCTGTGCTTTAGTTATTTTACAGTACATGAAATAGAAAATAATTTGCTAATTGGTTGATTATGAAAAACCAATCTTTATTGCATATGAGAAAATCAGTGATTAGTCTACTGTGTGTTTAGTCAACATTAAATTGACAAAAACAAATGGAATTCCATGTGATTTTCTTGGGGTAAACAGATGAGAGCGGCGGGGAGGAGACTCTGAATTCTGAAGCACCTGGGAGTTCCAGTAAGAATCACAAAATCCACAAAGAAGCCAGTGAAGCCACCCCTGATTACCTTGAGGAGTTCCAAAGATATGCTGAAAAAAACATGATTCTGCTTAGAAGTTCTCCACTAGAACAGGTCAGCATTAACAGTGTACTGAGAAATGTAAGACAATTTCTCTTTTACAAATGACAAGTTCAAGTGGCAGGCCTACACATGGTCTACTGATTTTGCTTACCAGCACACTCTTTCTAGAATACTTGATGACTTTGTTGAGCAATTTTTAAATTTTTTTATATGCATTGTAAAACATGTAGGCAGAAGTTATGCTCCTTATCAATATCCTCACCTCTCCTGGATATTGATAAGGAGCATAACTTCTATCTATACATTTTACAAAGTGTATAAAATTTACTTTGTACAATTTAGTTTCATTATGTGCTTTTATTTTGTGTTAGATTGCTCATTTCTAGCATATGATGAATTACTGATAATAAAATCTGAAACCAGTGTACACCTACTTGGAAAAATTAAGCAACTGCTTGGACCTTTTTGCTCAACACTGTATCACTATGTGAATATTCTTGCACTTCTAAAGTCACTATTTAAGGAACTTGGGTATTCTCATTGCTGTGAGTTGCACCACATAAGAGTCTTTAGCTGACTATCTTGACTTCAAAGACAATCTGATTTCTCTTCTGATTTCTGTGTCTGTAGGTTCTATTCATATGTAATGTGCCATTGTGTGCTCTGACCCATCAAGGACAGGAGAAGTGATAAAAGTACAAGAATCTTACGTGTCTAGCTCCAGCATGTATGTGTATGTGTGTGTGTTGTTGTTGTTTTGTAAAAGGTAAGCAGACTCAGGCTAAAGAGGAAAAAATTCACCAGGTGAAAAAGACTATTCTCAATGAGATCTTTTATAACAACATGTCACAAGTGGAGATATTATTTGGAACTTCAGAAGAGACAGGAATAGCTTAGGTGGAAGCTGGGAGGTAATATCCTTTAATTTGGAGTATGGAAATTCCATAAAAGTTTTTCATATCTTCCTTTGTGCCACTCAGACCAGAATATCATGGACACATTAAGGTTATGTCTATTTTAAGCTTTCTCAAGCAAGTGACCCAAATTAGCAAATACAGCCTTCCTTAACAGAGCCAGTTACATGGCTCCGATAGTGGTTTGAATTGTGTTCTCCAAAAATATGTGCACCTTAGTATCAGGGAATGTGACCTCATTTGGAAATAGAGTCTTTGCCGGTATAATTAACTTAAGGATCTCCAGATGAGATCATCCTGAATTTAGGGTGGACCCTCAATCCGATGACCGATGTCCTTTTAAGAGAAAGGAGAGATTCGAGACTCAGACATGTGAGGGAGGAAGAAATTGAGGTGATCCATCTACAAGCAAAGGACCACCAGGGATCACCACAGTCGCCAGCAGCTGGGAGAGAGGCATGCGGTGGATTCTCCTGAGAGCCTAAGGAAGGAACCATCCTGAGAACACTTTGACTTTAGACCTCTGGCCACCAGAACTCTGAGACAATAATTTCTGTTGTTTTCAATGATCATGTTTGTGATAGTTTTTTATGTCAGCAGTGGGCAACTAATATAGTTCCTGGGATAGTTGATCTCACTGGCTAGGCTTCACTTCACTGCTGTGCTAACCCTGCCTCACACCTTTATGAAGACAGGGCTCTCAAAGGAAATGGAGGTGAAAAGATGTATATTTTTATACATCTTTTTTAAAACAAGTGTTTTTCAGATGTATATTCTGATACATTAACAGTTCAACATTTCCATTTTTTTTGCACCATGTAGTGCCATTGTATATGTTTTAATTTGCACCATGTTTTTGATCATAGATACCTGGATTTCTTTGGGATATGGGGCTAATATTTTAAAATCCTCATTCTGTACAAGATAAACTGAGGCACAGAATGCTCACCTGCTTCACTGTTGCGAGGCTGTCATTCAAAAGCCAGCACAGTGTCTAGAAGCCCAACACAAGTAGAACTCAAGTCTGCATTTTTCCCATGTCTCAGTAGTAGGAGACAGTCCACATATTCAGGAGAATTCAAGTCTTCTGCAACTACCACCATGATTCCCTTTAAACACTGAAATTTGTGATCTACTTTTTTCTCCTAATCAATATGTCTTAAATTATGTGAAATTCAACCTAAACTGACTACCTGAATAATTGCAAGAGAAATCATGTGCTGACCTATGATCATAGATTCATATGACAGATTCGTATGGGGGAAGGAGGCTGAGCTGGAGTCAGACCTCTGTTGGGGCATGGCTTTTACACTCACAGGGTATCAGATCATAGGCAAGTTATTTAACTTCCCTGACCTCAGTTTCCTTATCTGTAATTCAGGGGAAATTAGATCTATCTCATTGCACTGAATGGAGGATGAGATGAGTCATCCATGAATAATCTAGCTCAAAGTAGCTGCTGAATAAACGGCAGGAGGTACAATAAAGAGCAAAGATTCTAATCCCAGCACTTTGGGAGGCCGAGGCGGGTGGATCACAAGGTCAAGAGATCGAGACCTCCTGGTCAACATGGTGAAACCCCGTCTCTACTAAAAATACAAAAAATTAGCTGGGCATGGTGGCGCGTGCCTGTAATCCCAGCTACTCAGGAGGCTGAGGCAGGAGAATTGCCTGAACCTAGGAGGTGGAGGTTGCAGTGAGGCGAGATTGCACCATTGCACTCCAGCCTGGGTAACAAGAGTGAAACTCCGTCTCAAAAAAAAAAAAAAAAGATTCTAACACCCATTCTCAGGTCCATGGTGGCAATGTTCTTATGTTTGCTGTGTCGGGAAGTTGTATGAACACACCAGGTAGTATCATAAGCAGGAAAAAGCTTCAGATTTGGTGTTAGAACTCACAGCTTTCATCTTCATTCAGGTATTTATATGAACTTAGACCTCTGTGTTAAATAGGGCTAAATAATTTGAACCTCTTATGGATGCATGGGGATTGAGATGTGTCCAGGTGCCTGGCAGATAATGTTTTCTTTTTCTTGTGACTGATTTTCTATATTTGTTGAGACCATTACCTATTTTGACTTTTTATCACTATTGTAATGGTGAACTGATAATTACAAAAGGCAAGGTGTTTAAATGGAGATCCAGGCAGGGGAGTCCCAGCTGGGGTGAGTGTTGCTGGCTGAGTCTCTTCTCTTAAACTACTTATCTATAACTACTGATTTATCTGGTGACTGGAGTGATTGCTTCTCGTCGTAACATTACAGAGCCTTGTTGTGGTGGAAAACCTGGAATGATAGAAGAATTCAGATTGTAAAAAGAGCTGGGGTGCTTGACTAAGGTTACCAGTGGGACTGATCTGGGAATTGTCTAGTACAGAGATTACTATTTGAATGCTCATTAGATTTAGAGATCCTGATAGTTGATGTATATCTTGGAGAGAAAAAGAGAAGAAAACTCTCATATATATACAGCATAGTCAAAGGATGGTGTTATTAAAATTTGTGAAATTTGAATATCCAAGCACATCTACTGTGGGACCCCTACTTTTTTTCTGTAGACAGAGTAGAATATGGAAGAATGAAGAATTTCCCTTCTCACTTTGCAAAAACATTGTGTGTGGTTGAGTATGTGTATGTCTGTGTATATGGTTGTGTGGGGGGATGGATGTCTATGCACATATGGCTCTGTTTGTGTGTGTGTGTGTGTGTGTGTATGTGGGTGGGTGGGTATATATATGTGCATGAACATGGTTGTGAATGTGTGTGTTGGGGAAGGGGCTGTATAGAGCCCCAGTGGGACTGGTATACTGAATTCCCAAGGATCCAGCATAGAACTGATGAGAAAATTACTCTGGAGTTGAGCTTTAGTTAGCAGGGTGATGGCAATGTTAGCAGTGATGCAGTCACTCCTGAAACTATAGGAAGCATCAGCCAGGACTAATATATGAGCTAATGTAAGTCACTCATTGGGGACTCCAGAAGTACCCAGAGAAGGAGAACTTCTCAGCTGGCTGAGATCTCATGATAAAGGCAGATGTAAGAGCCCATGAAATCTGGCCCTAGGTAAGGTGAGTGTGATGGGTAAACAGGATAACCACACACTACAGAAACTTAAAAAAAAATTGGGTCACTTAATGTGACCACTTTTTATTCCACAGTTATCGGTCTACATAGGATAGGCTAGTTCTGTAAGTATCTCAGAAAAGTACTATAGGTGATGCTTCCTGTCCAAGGCTGTCAAAGAAGCAGGGAAACATCTGTTATGGTTTGGCCCTGTGTCCCCACCCAAATCTCATCTTGAATCGTAATCCCCACATGTCGAGGGAGGGACCTGGTGGGAGGTGATTGGATCATGGGGACAGTTTCCCCCATGCTGTTCTTATGACAGTGAGTGAGTTCTCAGGAGATCTTATGGTTTAAAAGTGTTTGGCAGTTTCCCCTGGATCTTGCTGTCTCTCATGCTTCAACATCATAAAACACACCTCGTTCTTCTTCACCTTTCACCATGATTGTAAGTTTCCTGAGGCCTCCACAGCCATGTGGAACTATAAATCAGTTAAACTTTCTTTTTCTTTGTAAATGACCCAGTCTCAAGTATGTCTTTATAGCAGTGTGAAAATAGGCTAACACAGTATTCCAAAGCATGATGAGATTAGAAGAAACAAAACCAAGAGTTGGGAGGATGAGAGGGGAAGTGGGAAGGTAACATTCTCAGAGTCAGCTGAGAACATCCCATTTCAAGGGCCATGCAAATAATGAAATACCATTTTTATTCTTATCATAGGGCAGTTGAGTTGCCCAAGTATAGAAAGCAACTTTAGAAATATTCGTGCTGACTTTTTATATCCCACTGACATTGGAAAGCTTATAGGAACGATTTTATGGAATGACTTAGGTCTGAGAATTATCTAGTAAAGAATAAAACTAATTGATTAAGTGAATAAATTTAATTAATTTAGTCACAGAGGAAATCCAGGGAAACAATAATACATTGTTTTTCAAATGTGTATTAAATTAGAAATAAAATAATTTTATTTTACATGTCAGCTACCAGGAGGAAATGTTTTCCTGGACATTCCCTAATATCTACTGTATGCTGTGTACCTGTTCCTAATCAGTTGCAGATAACTAGGTTTTCC